TTGGCGGACATCATTTTTAATTATGGCAGCTAGGATGTCTGGCCATGTCTGACCAACCATTCTTGAGAGTCAGGAGCGTTTGCCTCGCGCAAAATGCGACGCGTAGTGGCTCTGATAGATTTGCATCTTTGTTGGGTTCCTCAAGCCCCACGCAATTGGAGAGCGTTGCTCCACAAGCCTGGGCCTTCTACATGAGTTGCCAGAAGTTCGTCCTTTTGCGAAGTGGTTGTACAGTTGAAGTGAGCCAAGACAAACCGGGTGCCATTTTTCCCTGGCCACTGGGCAAGTAAGATGTTGGACAGTTGCGCCGGAACTTGGGAACCACTACCCCCCCTCCCCCCCCACCCACACTGAGCAGCTTGTTTTCCTTGTTTTCTTTTCTCGGTTGAAAAGGCAAACCCTGGAACGACGGCCTCAATGGAAAATGCACCTCGCCCAACACGTTTGAACGCTGAAGCACTCCTGGGAAAGCCCAACGGCCCAACGCCGTCAGTTCCTTGGTGCTCTCAGCATTGCTTGTTGAGCGCCTTTGGCGGCCGAGGATATCGATTTCCTTTGGCCGCCTGGAGGGCGCTGCTGGACAAAGACGTGGGAGACTCGGTGAGATGGGGTCAAGACGTGCCATTTGGTTTAGCCTTGGGGGAACTGGGTGTGGGCCCCTTCAAGGAGGCCAGTCTTCCGGCCGAGTGGAAGGGAGCGAAACCTCGGGTTTGAAGCCTTGGATGTGCTTCCGTGAGCCCACCTTAGCGGGCGCAATGCTCGGTCAGCTGGCCCCACCGGGACGCAGGATTCCAACAGTGTGTCCTGGGATGAGTTCAAGGACCCGCCAAATGTGCCAAAGAATGACTCTGGGCTTTGGCTAGGTGACCTTCTCCTGTTTCTGCGGTCTGGCCAAAAAGCGAACCCCCGAAAGTCGAAGGGGACACAACATTGAAATATGCGAGGCGGCATTCTGCTTGAAGCTGATGAATGCTGAAACCGCTGTTCCCCCTTCGTTCGCCATTTAAATCCAGCGGTCTTGTCGCTTGAGCATCGGCTCGTTTAGGTTGCCATGTCATGGGCCCTTGTGCTTCCATTGTTTATGTTTGGCGGGGGAATTAGTGATCCGTGTTTACAGATGGTGGGTTGTTTCCCCATTGGCCATAAAAGGAGCGGTCCCATCAAAAAGGTACCAAATTGCAGTCGAGGTTGGAACTGGATAACACTTCCTGCAGTTTAGCCCGCGCCATTTAGCAATGCCATCGACTTCTCCAACGGGCACTTTAATGTCCTTGCAACAAAGAAGCCACTGGCAAGGTATTTGGGTAATTCAAGTGTAAATGGGGTTTTCAAGGTACATGTGGTTGATGTTGTGGGTTCATGTTGCATTGAATGGTGCGATGTTGCTTGTGCTGTTCAAACGAGTTCCGCTTTGTGTCCGAGATGCTTTTAGCGCCTTGCCCCTTAGAGCTGTGATGAGCTGTGCATGTTCTACCCGCGCGGCCCGCTTTGCCTTGCCTGATGTGTGAAGCGGGCAAAGGGACGGTCCCGCGAGCCTTGCGGGGACTGAAGGGTGGGAAAGTTTATCGGCATCCTGAAGCCATTTGCATCGTTGTGTCAAGGCAACATCCACAGGAACACTTGTCCCGCCTCGAATGCGCTTCAGCAGATGCATCACGTCCCTCGCTTTTGCTTTTCCTGGGCTCCCGGGCTGACCCAATCAGTTGGGGAGACCATAAGTCAACCATCCAAGGCCCCCCCCCCATTTTTTTTTTAAACACGCACCATGAACTTTTCCGGAAGGAGGCCTGCTGGAAGGTGGGCTACAGAGGCCCCGTTGGCGGCGCCTGGCGGGCGCTGGACCACGACCTCTCAGGCGGCGGGGTGTGTGTGTGTGTGTGCACGCAGAAAACCCAGCGTATATCTGAAAGGTGTATACGAACGAGCTCCTCATTCATAATATATATTATACGCGTTTATATGTTTCTTTCTATATTACAACTGTATGTGTATCTGTGTGTTTGTATCTATAGTTGTATATGGATGCAATGCAATTTAACTGCAGCTGCAAATGTCCCCTCCCCTCAGAGGGGAAGAAGGAACACAAGCAAAGAAACAAACAATCAGCAACTTTCGTCACCTGGCCAGGCACCATCACCCTCAGGGAGTTTGACGCCCCCAGCGCCAAGATCCTCATCTCCTTCAAGGCCAAGTTCCCGCCTTCCCTCGATTTTGAGAGGGGTCCCAATGCTTGCAACTGGATCTTGGTAGAAAAACGGCCCCTTTGCCACAAGCGCGCCCTGCCATGTTGACCGAAGGATGCCTGGCACATGTCTGCGAATTGGGAACTGTGGGGAGCTTCCGGGTATGGGACGGGAGCTGCGTCCAGGGTCGCGCCATCGTTGTGCCAGGTCTGGTGCGACCTGCGCTTTGGATCTTTGAAGCTGCTCTTTAAGCCAGGCTCCTAGGGAGCGAGGCAGAGAGGAGAGAGAGAGACGCAGAGGGAAAAAACAACTATGGTTTTGCATGATGCATGCAACTGACAAGTTGTTGTGTGACGTAAACCGTGGAAGTGAAAGGTCAAGGCCGTCATCAGGCTCGCCAGGGGTTGGCTGTTGGAAGAGTGCCCTTATGAGCAAGGGAATGCGCCCAGGTCCATGGATGCCGACAACAACGGCTCAGTTTCGCACCGCACCCAAAACCATTGCTTTTTTGTTGGCGTGGTCAAAGTGCTGGCGCCGGGTGCAGCGTTGCTTTGATTGAGGTTTGCTGAGCTGTGTCGCGCGTGCAAGAAGGGCGGCTTCAAAGGAGAGACTCCAACCCGCTCTTGGGAGAGGGTCTAAGGAGTCTAAGGCATCCGTTTTGGCTTGGCGTCGGGCACGGGCGATGGCCTTGCGCGTTAGGAGACGCTCGAATGCTCTTCAACTGCCTGGACATCGACCAGCGCTACGAGTCGGGCAAGCGGTCCGTAGAACTGGAGGAACTGCGCCCAAGCTGCAAGCAGAGAAAAACGGAAGCATTTTCTTCCTGGCTTGCCCGACCCCCTTATCGTTCCAGGCTTTTGGACAAGTGCATCAGCTTTGCCATACTTTACTGTACTTGTTGTTTGGCAGGGAGCTACAGGCCAAACCAGTTTGTGCGTTTTTGGTTTGTTTTTTGCATTCTGAACTGGCATTGATGTTTGTATCAACCGCGGCTGGCGGTCCCCCTGCGAGTCCATCAGCCTTTCTTTTGTTGGTTAGCTTAGCGGTGCTTGTTCCCGTCATTGAGCCAAAAAGGGAACCAACAGAACCGCAGCTGCAGAGGAGCGTAGAGGAAAGGTCCTTTGGGAGTTGGATCCGCTTGTGTATCCTGGCGTTTTGGTGGAGCATTCCCGGCCGCAATCATTGGTTACCCCCAAGACCCAGGCTCTTCTTGGACTCCTGGGACCCGCTGGAGGATGAGCCTCTGGAGGCGCCTTGGGAACCCCTTGCCAGGATTTGGATCTTGGGGTGCCAGTTTTCCACGAACAGTCGGCGGATTCACGGAGTTGATCCCTGATTTGTTTCTTTCATCTGGATCTTTTGGGGTGCTCCCGGAGTTAGATGCGAGTGGGAAGGGGGGTTGGTTCACGGACCAGGAAAGGCAATGCCTTGTGGGTGGCTGCTGAACGGGAAGGCAAAGGGCACATTACCGTTCCCAAACTAGTTAACAAACAATTCCACCTTGGGAGGCGAAAAGCAGCTCAGTTTTGGGGAAGTGCAAATCCAGCCGAGCGCACCTTATCCACGGGCCCATGTGCTGCTCAATCCTTGCCCGACATTCGCAGGAGGCAGCTGCAGAGGCCGGAAGTTACTTTTGAATCGAGAGGAGGGTGTTCCTCCTGAAGTGGAGGATTGCTTTTGGCCTCAAAAACTGGTCGGTTTCCTTTTGGCCTCCCTTGGCCACATCGGGCTTCCTAATTGTAGGGAATGCCCAACTTTTGCGGTGTGAATTGCGGTTTGGCTTCATCCAACAAGCTGCGCCAGTTGTTTCCATGATTTTGGCCCGGTCAGGCTGAGGCTGCTGTGTGGCTTGCCAGCACCTTTGGTATCCTCTGGGTGCATCAGGAGGTCCAAAGGCCCTTGCCACATGCCTTAAAGCCTTTGGGTAGGTGTTTTTGCGATATACGCCAGGGTTCAGTATGGTGGCTCTTGTCTGGGATTGAGGAGAGGGCGATCCTCGATTCTCGTGAAGCAGTCCTTTTCGACACCCGCGCCTTGTTTGCAACCCGCTGCTGGCATAACCGCCTTGACCAGAGGTTTTTCGGACTTGGCATCCATGGCTGGGCCGATGCCTTGTTGTGCTATGTGTGCTTTCAGCTCTTTGCTCTTACCTAAGGTGCTGCCCAAGCTAGTGTGAGACACAGTTGGCAGCCAGGGCAAGGCGAGTTCGCGAGACCTGTGCTGCTTGAAACTGCAGATCTCCTCCAGCTGTGCATTTATTTCTACCGTTAGCGCGTTTAGGTTCCGGGGCGCGGTTCTGCCTGAGGCATGCCGTGCCCTTGTGTCACCTCGGAAGTTGGTCGGGGTTGCCACAGAGCGGCCACAACGTGGAGCTTTGCACAAGGAAGAGACCTAAGTTTAGAGGCGGGGTTCCTGCACGCCTGCTCACCCAGAAGGAAGACGCGGGGCAAAAGAGCAACCGCTGTGTCTCGAGGGATGGGCCGAGCAAATTGAGCCAAGAGAGGTTTTTTTTTTTTTTTAACCTTTGACAGGGTTGGTTCAAAATGGCCTTCACCAAGACGAAGAAGATCATTCCCCCAGAAGGCCTTTCAAAGGCGGTTCCGGTGTTTCACATCTTCACGCAGATGGCTGACACATTGCACATCCCTGAGCCATTTTGCTCGCCAGCGCTTCCAAACTCAGGGGTCCACTGCACCATACAAAGGGGCTTCAACAACTTAAAACCTAAATGCCCATGGCCCTGCCATGTTTGATGGCCCCCTCCCAACGCTCAAAGGACCAGAGGTGGCCCCTGACTCTTCCTCAACCCGAGCCCAGGTTCGGCGTGAGCATCGCCAAGAGCGTTGGCAAGGAGGACGCGGAGCGGATCCTGCGGCTCTGCGGGGCCCAGCCACGGCCCAAGGGTCCCCGGAAGCGGACGGAATCGTTTAATTTTTAATTTGTTTTCCTCCAAAGGAAGTTCAATGAAAGATGGAACAGGTTTCTTTCTTTTTCAGACCTCGTCCCGGATTGACGCCTGCGGGTTTGACTTTTGTGTTTAGGACTTCCTCCTGACTGATGTGATACTGTGCCATTTTGCTGTGCCATGCCCCCGTGGCTGTAGCAATGCGAGTCGCCTGGAAGCGGTTTTTGCACTTCTGCGTTTGTGGTTGAGAGGGGGGTAGAATAGTTATCAGGTTTGGATGCTGTGAAAAATGTCGGGGAGGCCGCATTCGCCGAGTAGCCACCCGAAATAGTACCAAGTTCAGCCCAAACCCTCCGCTTCTGTGAGGGTACAATTGGGTCAAAACACACCGTGGATCCATTCGTATCATCTCAGCCCATCTCAGCCCGAAACTCTGAAATGGCCGGAGCAAGGGGGCCAACAGCCACACAAATGCGTTCAGTTTGGTTGCCTGTTGTCACTTGCCTCCAGCCGACCTTCAGGCTCCTGGATGGGCGGCCCAGGAAGGATGTGGAGTGCTGCCCTCGGCCCAAAGCATGGGAATCCTTGAGAGGGGTGTGGCAATTGGTGGAAATCGATTTATTTATTTTCATTTATTTTTATATATTTTTTAGAAAGGGAATCTTGCAATTGCTGTTTTTGTTTTGGGTATTTTGCGGAATTCCGCAAAGTTGAATGGGAAATCAGCGACTCTTGTTATGCCCCTGGCTTCATGTAGACCATTTCTATTGCCCGACAGGCGGTTGCGAACGCTCCTGGCCAACCATTGCGCCGGCAAAGACCAGGCCGCTGGGGGTTGGCGTGTTGAGGTCGCCACTGTTGCATTGGGATGCCTTGGTTCCGTGGGGGGTACAATGCAAAGCTTTTGTGCGTCGACCTTAGCAAGTTGACGTGCCAGCCAGAAAGGGCCCCCTTTCCCATCCTCCATTTCCTGCAATTGAATCATATTGAGGCAGCCCCCAGGTCCCCGAGTTGCGATTCCGGTTGGTCCCCAATTTGGGGCCCCACAAACCACCGCGTTTCCACTGGCGACTTTGGTACACGCACATGCGAGTTGCTGGAGTGTATCCTTCCGGGTGGAGCGAACTAGTGACTTCACGGTTCCCAGCCATCTTCTTAGACTTTTAGCTTCTTAGACGGTTCAGCACTGATTTCAACTTCTAACCCACTAAAAAGCCAAACTGAACCCTTGCTTTTCAGGGTTGCTTCAGGGTTTGGTGGGTTGCAACCCACGAAAAGTCAAAAACTGGTGGTCCGAAGCGGGTGCTGCTCGACGGATTTCCGGGTAATGTTGACCCCGGATTAATACACCTGTCCCATTCTTAGGGGGTGTCCAAAAGTGATGAATGTCCACTAAAAGGGGACACCCCCCTTACCCTTTTAAATCATTCAATAAACCCTTCGGGGTCAATATCAAGAAGGATTCATTTTTTTACTAACCCGTTCGGGTTATTTTTGAACCAGTTCTCCTTAGATCTGGGCTCAACATGACGTTTCCAGGCCCTCCCGGCAGCCATCGCCGCCTGGAAGGAAGGCGCTGCGCCTCTCGGACCAGCGCTGGAGCTCACGCGGCCGCCGGAGGCGCCGGAACCACCGCGCAGCGTGCGGCGTGCGCGGGGCGCCGGGGGGCTGCGGGTCGTGGGTGTTGTGGGGGAAATGGCGCACATACGAAGAATCGCACTTGCACACAAGTGCTGTTCATACTTGTGTTTGTTTCCGGTCGGTTTGGCTTGTTGCTTTTGTGTGTCTAGGTTGTCTTGATTCCAAGGGTTCCTGTCAGATCGCCCCACAGCGCCCCCTGCTCTTGTCTTTCTGGGTTTGGCTCCTCCCGGGCTGCAAAGACAGCAAATCATATCGATCCCCTCGGTTTGAGTGCTGTAAGTAAACACTGCATTATTTAGCAAGCACCCTCAAGGCCAGCCAAACTCCCACAAGGGCCAACAGCCTCCAACTAAGACAATAGCTTGCGCACCGAGGGCCCGGAATCTCTCGACCCAGTTGGTTGGTTTGCCACCTTGGGCTTGTAGGGGTATTCTTCTACAGACGGCTCTCACGTCTCAAGTAACAATCGAATGCCATGCTTGGATCGTACTCCAGGGCCTGATTTGTGGAAGAACGACGGCTATGGAGTATGGAGAACCTTTTGCCAGAATTCTGTCATGCTCTTGCACGGGCGTTGTGCCAACAATGGAAATACAAACTTGCAGCTCACTTCCGAGCAGCGTAGTCTTGCATGCTTGCCATTGAAGAGGACCCCAAAACAGTCAGAGGAAAGATGATCAGAGGGCATTTCATGTGTGACTGTGTGGCATTGTTTAACGAGTTGTTTATAGAAAAAACATGGTTGGGGGGCTACTTCAAGGACGGGAATTCCTAGATCCAAGGCTTCTAGCCTCTGACCTGGGAAGGACCTAGAGAACCCATAACTCTCCAAAGGGATTCATCCCTTGCCTGGCCTCCCGTGGCAAATGACGAAATGGCCAGGAGAAGTTGGAGAGGAGGCTGTCCTTCAGGGAGCCCAATGAGTCAAAGGAGCCAAAGGAGCCAAAGACGCCGGGGCCAAAGACGCCGGGGCTGGAGAAGGGCCAAAAGGAGAAGGAAAAGGCAAAGGAGCCGAAAGAGGCGGCCGATGCGAAAGCAAAGGCCGGCTTGAAATTCGATACTCCCGGGCTGGACAGAATTTCATGGCAGGCTGAGGTGACAGATGTCGACGTGGACTTGAACCTAGTAGAGGCAGGTGCGTGTTGCCTTTCGTGTCGCGCTCACTCTTCTGACATGTGCCCTGAATAAAGCATGCAATTAGCCATTTGTCTAATGACAATAATTTTGAATTCAACTCCAGGCTTATAAGAGTTGTGCAATCTAGGTGTCCATCAGACCTCCTTGAGGATGTCTAGCCCGCACAGCCATGCCTTTGGCTCTTGAGGACGTAGCGTTGCGGTCTACTGCACATCGCGGCATTTTGCTTCTTTTCCGGATCAAGTTTGGCGGTTCAATGGCACACACTGAATGGGCGGCAAATTTTACGGTTTCGCTGCGGCGGCTAGGGCCTAGAGGTATAGGTAGTACCAGTAGGTAGGGCCTCTTGAAGATTGCAACTGAAGGCTGGAACCCCCAGTTTGACGAACAACTGGTGGTTTCACGGGGGGCTTAGCAAGGCAGGCAGGGTCATGCAGAGAGCGCCGCTTGTGCGCTTGTGCGCTTGTTCATCCTGCGTGCTGCAGGATGCTCCTCCAGACCACGTTGCGCACCAAAAGGCCCGGCCTTGCCCTGATTGCCCTGGTTCTGCATCGGGAACAACAGGTCTCATTTCGATTCTTCCTTACCTGAGGAACGGGTTTTCCTTTGGTTTCCCTCAGCCAAGGACGAGGGGTCAGGAGCACCTGTCCACTACTGTGTGATGCTTCTGCGCGCGGCTTTATTGCCTCTTTGGAGGTCAGGCATCGCCAAACCACCGGCGCAGTGGGTTTCCGGCCGGCGGCCCGAGTTTCTCTCCGGTCGGCCGGCTGGTTTTGCCTTCCGGGCTGTAGAGATGTCTTGGTGGCTGTCTTCCCCGGCGCCGGGGCCTCTCGGAGCCCAGGTACAAACTGGAGGATGGCGAAGTGGCCTTCCAGACCACCATCAGGGCCGCAGGCAGCCTGGAGGCTGGACATCAAGTCGGAGAGCTGCTCGAACCGAATGGCATGTTACTTCAGGGTGGGGTGCCTTTGAGTGCGCGTCTAAACTCTAAAGCTGCCAGCCTGCCAGGCTGCGTTACGCGTAGCCCGTGCCTGCCCAAGCATTCTACCAATGTGCAAGGGCTTGCTCAACATGCACCAAACTACACCTAGGTGCTTGCTACCTGAAGTTTGAGCTGTGGCCCCAAGCAAATCGATTCTGACGCTGATGAAATGAGCGGCTTGCAGGCCGCGCAAAAGCTTAGATTTTCTAGTTGCGAAGTGCAGCTGGTTCAGTGAAGAGAGGGACATTAAGCCTTTTTGCGGCCAAGTCGGGCAGCTCCCTGGGCTGCTTTGCAGTAACGCAAGGCGGCAAGTGCATTTTGCCATGCCACTTTTGAGACCCTGGCCATGCCTCCTCGGAAAGCATGGCTGAGGCTTGGCATGTCCAAGGCAGACGTGGAGCTGTACCGGAACGAGTTGTATGCAAGGCGATGGCAGGTTCAGCTTAGATCCTTTAGACCCTTGGATGTTCCGCTGTTGGCCCAGTTTTAGTCATGGCCCAAAGAGGTGCACAGGTTGTTTCCGAATCTTTTGGGTGAGACACTTGCTTGGGCTTCGTAGGCAGGGTCATCAACTCGATCCATGCTGTTCGAGCAAGCTTTCATTGATGTCTACAAGCTGGGTTGGTTTTCTTTCCAACCCCTTTTGAACAAACAAAATCTCCCAACTTTGGAAACCCATTTGGGTGGCCACGACCAGGGCCCGCACATGAGGGTGCTAGCACCCCCAGCGCTTACCTTGAAAACAGGCTGGGTGGCAAAGCGGCCATCCGACCCAAGGATCCCAATGCTGGGGCCCAAGTGAGTGGCCGGGTTGTTTAAAAGTTTAAGTTCCAGGGTTTTGATTCCGGGTGCATTTTTAAGTCTAGGCCATCAAGAAATGGAACCCAGGCTCCGTGCGCCCTGCGCGCGCCACGCCGCGCGTTTCGCGGTTGCGGTGGTTACTGCAAAGGCCCCACCGCGGGAGAGGAGGGAGAGGAAAGAGCGGAAAGAGCGGAAGGCGCGGGGGGGGGGGGGGGCGGCAAAACGACACTTGAAGCCTGTTGTTCTGCACAAGTTGCCAAATAGCCTGTGAGGGTCCGCCACCGGACTTGTCAGTAAGTTGACAATTTGCTGCTTTGCTTGGTTGCCGGGAGTTTCGACTTATTTCTGAGCTCAAAATTGAGACGTACAATGCCAGAGATATCGCTTTCCATTGGCCCGTTCTTGCACAAAACAGTGCTCTTTATCCGCAGATTTCTGCCGTTGCGCCCCACTCGAAAGAAGAGGGCGACCGCCATCGACCGCCCAACCCTGCCCGGAGGCTGGCCAGCCCAAGAAGCGCCATGGCGAGGCGGGCGGGCTGGTTCTCAAGTCGCTTGTTCGCTCCGTTTTGGACTCGCTTCCTCATCTCCTGCTAAAAATCAGACACACGCACAAGTGCGCAAACCTTTTTCGAAGACGAATGTGCTTTGGGAAAAGGGCCCCGTGCATGGGAGGGGGCAAATTTTGTTCCAACTGGGTACCAAACCGGACATTCCCTTTTGGTTTCTTTCAATCCCCATCCAAAGCGGGGAAACCCATCGGACCCCCATCAGCTTGTGAGTGCGGAAATGGCCGCGAGACGCCAGGGGCTGCTGCGGGAGCTGCAAAGCCAGGGCAAGCTCCAGGGCGCTTTGCGGGTCTTCGGGCCTGGTCTCCCAGCAGAGCTGATGGGAGGGGTTTGGGAAACACGCCTCAGTTGCCGGCTGGATCGGGGGTCCGGGGTGGGGAGGGTTGGGACTTGAGAACAGAAAAAGTTGGGCGAAACCTCACACAAGACCAATTTTGTATGGGAGGCTTGCCAAGTAGCCTGGGGGGTTGCTGGAAACCCTGAAGGGCAAAAGGCCTCTCATGACTTGTTTGAGCATGGTTCAGGTCAGATCATGCCTGTGAAGGGAAGGTGTTCGAAAGATAAACCCGTCCGCCAGGGACCTGCTAGATTCGCCTCCACTTTCGCCCGGAGGTGTTGGAAGGCTGTTCGCATAGCGGGCATGCGGCATGAGTCAGCCAAATGAGCAGAGCTGTTTGCTGCCCAAATGGCTTGAACAACAATGTTTACCTGGTGCCGGCTCGTGTCGGAGGCAATTCCCGGCAGGCTTCCTCAGGCATCCAGAGGCCCGAGGCAACATGTGCGTGGGCATTCTGGAGGCTCTGTGTAGGCGACCTTCAGCTTTGTCGGCCTTCGTGCTTCGAGCGGTCTTGGTGATGTGCCTTTATCCAACAGCCAACTCGGGAGTCAATCCACACAGCGCAGAGTAGGCTTCGCGTACTTCTCGCTGTCCAGCGGGCCTCCACCACGGTGCATATCATTTTTAGTTAGTTACTAAGCCTCAGGCTTCTCAATGAAAACGGTAGGACGGCCATGGTTTTGTTGCGTTTTGTTTGGCCATACAGCTCCAAGCAAACGCCTCGACTGCATAGGCTCCGCAAAGACAACTTGAGGCCGCGTAGGCCCACCTTTGTATTCAGCGCCAGTTTCGTGTGGCCTTTGGCACGGTCGCAGTGCTAGCACTTTCCCTAGAAACAATAAAACACATGACCAAGACATCTACGTCTGACGCACCTGCGACTGCTGTGCCAGCCGTGTGGTTGGAGTGGGCAGTTGGCAGTGCTGACCATGAGTCTGCTAGGACAACAATGCTGCCGCAGCGGGCACCAGCCTTGCGCTTTTCCTTTGCTGGTTCACACCCTCCACCAAACAGCAAGCAGTGGCTCTTTTCTCACGGTTCCACTAGTGACGAACTTCAACGTGGGGATGGCTTCTGGGCTTTCCGAGGCGCGACCCAAAGAAGAAGAATGCGTGGGGCACCCGTTGGGGGGGGGGGGGCGGGGCATCGTATGCCGTGGCCTGCAGTCCATGGCCACCCTACCCAAAGCAGCCACTTCAACCAGCCTAAACCCGCTGTTTTCCTTTAGGCGAGCCTGGAAAAGGATTCGGCAAAAGGACCAGCACCATCCTGCGCCTTCCCGCGTCCTTTCGCGCAGCACGGTGAACGGCGTGTACCTCCCGGTGGCCGGTGGCTTCGAGGGCAGCGCGGCCTTTGAGCGGATGAGCCAAGGCACGACTCCAGTTGAGTGACTCGAATCCGTGCCGGAAGAGTGTGTAGTGTCGAAGGGAAAGCACCACCGGGGTTCCAAAAAAAAGAGAAAACAATATATAAAGGAAACACCCCAAACATCCTGTCTACGCTACCAAGGTCCCTGGTTGGGTGATGTCATTGGGTGTAATTCTGATTCAAATCATCCTGGAGCTAAGAATGATGGCGCTCATGATTCATGATTGATACCAGTCCATAGCAGTCGCCATGAGCCCTTGGAAGACTTACGACATGAGTTTGTTGGAGCAATTGTGGTGCGAACCTGTTGCGAACTGTGACATTTGCAGCGGCTGAAGCCTAACCTTTCGAATTGTGCGCTTCCGAGCATTTGTCAAGCTTTGATCGGCACCGCGCTGTCGAATTACGGTCAGATTGACATGTTTGTAGCATGGCACAGGCCCTTTGTCTATCACAATTGCCCTCGCTCCAGTCATTGAAATGCACGGACGCAGGAGCTGTGGCATGATGGTGACCCCCAGTGTCCATTGCCATGACTGTTGAAGAGCGGCTGGGCCCTGCCAAGTCGGATTTTCTCAATCGGCTTTGAAACCAGATCTCAGCACAGCTCCGGTGGGCAAGCCTGGCGTGAGGCAGCGACCCCAAGCGCTTCCTCTTCTACGCCAAGGACAAAGCCAGGTGGCGGATCAGCGAGGTGGGGTCCTTGACGGGGGCTTCCCTCAAATTCAAGCCATGGAAAGTAAGAACCTGCTGCGGAAGCAACTATTGTCCATTCAAGTTTGACAACCGCAAGACGGGTGAACTCTGCTGGCCACTTGGCTACTTGCCCGCTTTCTTGGCCGGAGGCTTTGGGCGACAATCGCAACTTCGCCTTCCTCAAAGTGAAGGACCCCCTCTGGCCTGTCGCTGGCATCCTTCCCCTAGCCCCCCCCCCCCGCTCAGACAGAGTCAAAACAGGGTGCTTCCCTCTATGTGCAGTCGCTACTCTGGGGCTTGTCCAAGTGAAAATGTCAGAGTTGCTGGTTGGTGATGACCAAATCAGAATGGCAAAATAGAGTGTTGGCCCGGAACCTCCTTAGGCGGCATCAGGTCTGGAAGGCCGCTCTAGGTTTGTTTTGTCGGTCGTTCGCTCTTTGTTTTGTTGGTTGTTTGTGAGTTTGTTTTTGTTATGTTGGTTGGTTGGGCTGGTTGTTTGTTTGGTTGGGTTGGTTGCTTGGTTGGTTGATTGGCTGTTTGGTTGGTTGATGGGGGGGTTGGTTGGTCGGTTGGTTGATTGGCTGTTTGGTTGGTTGATGGGTCGGTCGGTCGGTCGGTCGGTCGGTCGGTCGGTCGGTTGGTTGGTTTGTTGGTTGGTTGTTGTGTTTTTGTTTTTTTGTGTGTGGGTGGGTTTGTTTGTTTTGTTTTGTTTGTTTGTTTTGTTTGTTTGTTTTGATTTGTTTGGTTTTGTTTTGTTTGTTTTGTTTTTGTTTTGTTTGTTTTGTTTGGTTTTGCTGAGTTGGGTTTGCGTTTTGTTTGCTGAGGTTTTGTTTATTGTTGATTTTGGCTGTTATGTTTGTGGTGGCCTGCTTCTAGTAAGGGGGCACATTCCGCTGGGTCTTTGCCCAGCGGAGCTGGACACACCCCTGCTGTTTAGGGTCGGGTCAGTGGCCAGTGACTATGTACATTGCATGTGGCCACCTTGGCAGAGCGAAACACTGCACCGGAGAGCGCCATCCAAATAACCAGCAAGGCCTGAGGTCGTGCGTTTGCGGCTCGACTATGCTGAAGGCTTGGGCATCATCGTGCTCTGACCCTTTTAGTTTCATGCCCCTTCACGTCGCCAATGTCGCCACGGGTTTTGCGCGCTTGCACATACAGCCGCACATATCATGTAAGTATGTTTACCTTTCATTTGCCTTGACCATGTGTTTGATCCAACAAGTTTTTCACACGGAGAGCTGGGAGTCCCTTCATTTGCACAAGGAGCATTTGTCAGATGGATACCATCGACATCCACAGAGCGGCATGAAATGATGTTGGATCATCCTGTCGCTAGCAAGCCACGCGGGTTTACCGTTTGCCCCTTGGGGCGGCGACGGCTTCTCGCGTCGCCCATGTCCTTTGCTGCGCTTGGCTTAGATGGCCACGCGCCGCCAGAAGGCGCTGCTGGCGCTGCTGGGCGCGAGCCTCGCCGGTCTGCTGGGCGCCTATGCGCGCAAAGGGCAGACGGAGGTGCACATGGTTCAACCATGGCGGATTTTAATAGGCATCACCTACCAGCCTGGTAGTGGCATCCCATGTAAAGGACGTCTATAAGAAGTGCATGTGTGTGGATATTTGTGCATCGTGTGTGTGTGTGTGTGCGCGCTTCCTGGCGTTTCCTCTCCGAAAGCCCTCTGAAATCGGAGAACCTTCATCCTGGCTTGCCGTGGTCGCCCAACAACTTGATCGCCAACGCCAAGAGACAATTATTCACAGATTCACAGGTTGACACCCTGAAGCCGGGTCAAAGACATCAACAACTGTTGTTTCAAAATCCTGATCTAGGTCCTGCAGTCCATGGTTGCTGTTTACCAGACCGCAGGTGTACCTGTATGACCTCTTCGTTATCGGAGGCTCGGGACCATGCCGGGACCCTGCGGGTAGGTCCCCGGAACCCCGACTCGCACAGAGAAACCCCACGCCCGGATGGCGCGCAGCTATGGAAACCGTGAAACCTCATTACGGCAGAGATATTCAGGGTCCTGAGATGCAAGTTCAAGCGCCCCAAAGTCATCCCGCTTTCAAGACTTATGTGCGACAAGCGACCGGCACAAGGCAACACATGAATAGTACTCAGTGGCTTGTGGATGGATGTAGGCAAGATCATGTTGCGTTATGCTGATTTGGGTGTCAAGAAGCCCGGTCCAGGGGGCAGCGGTGGAGTTCGCCTCGCGCGCTGGAGCGCCGCTCGGGGGGCGAAGGTGGGCCTGGCAGAGTTGCCCTTGGGCCTGGTGAGCGGCTCGGACGCATCAGGTTTCCCTTCGTTTCCGGGTTCCCCGCACAAAACAGGTCAACCCTAAGCAGACATGCTTCCCTTCTGCTACCAGGTCGCTCGGCGGGTTGAACCTCTAGTTTTTATGGGACCCGCCACGCAGCTAGATGCACCAAAGTGCTCACAGCTAAACCTGAGGCAGTCTCAAAAGGTTTACCTCCAACAAGCTGTGAATTCAAAAAAACCACAAGCTCGTCTTCCAGGAGCTCAGGCTGTTTTTTGCTAGCATGTGCATTTACATGCGTATGTGGAAAAGGTGCAGAAGCATGTAAATCTATGAGCATGCCACACAATATGCACATACAGTAGGATTTGTTGTTTACATGTGAATTATACATATGATAGCCTTTGCCTCTATCAATTATTGGCCTGCCTTCTTTACCGAAGTTGGTAGGTCGGTATTGCTGGCCTTTTTCTTTTCCTTTTTTTGTGAGGGAGGCGGGCACATGTTGGGCACAGTTGCACCAGCTGTATGGGTGCATTACATGTTGCGCAACATGTTGACAGGCATTTACCCAACGATACCCCCAATTGACTTGCCAAGGTATCCCCGACCCTGTTAGGCTGTGTAAATTGGGGGGGGGGGGAACTTGAGGCAATGTTGTTTTTGTTTTGGTGTCCGAAGGTAAATGTTGTTGTTGGAAGCAGGCCAATATATATATATATATATTATGTGTGTGTGTTTGTCTGTATAAATATATATATATATATACACATTGTTTTATTTACATAAGTTCGAAAATTCCACATGTTGAAGCATGCTACTTTATTTTGCATATGCCAAGGCGAGAAGCACAGCCTCGGCGGGCTGGGGGGCACGTGCGTGCTTCGGGGCTGCGTCCCAAAGAAGCTGCTCATCTACGGGTCTGAGGTGCCGGGCCAGGCGCTCTGAATTCGGAATGGTTCACTGGGAAAAGGTGGGGAACATAGGGGGGGCCTTTTGGAATCAATATGGGCCCTGGGCAAATGGAATCAACCCCATCTAAACCAATGCCACCTATTTCTAACCAAGCTAACCTTGAGAGGACATCTACTATACATGGACGAAATCCATTTTGCACCACTCTGAAACCATGGTTTTACCATTGTTTGTTGGCATTTACAGGCGAATCCTCCTCCCAGGGTTTCCCAGGTGGTGCAGGATTTGGTGCATGCACAGTAGATGTCCTCTTAAGGTTAGTTTGGTTAGAAATAGGTGGCACTGGTTTAGATGGTTTTTATGCCATTTTCCAGGGGCAGCTATTGATTCCAAAAGGCCACCTATGGCAGGGAACCCTCGGAACCCTTCGCAATTGAAATTTGAGGGTGGGAATAGCACTTGAGATTGCCCGATGCCCAAGGGTGTGCTTTCATGACTCATGGAATAAATCTGCGCTGGAAGGGGCCTCTCCAAACAGAGTTTTCTCTACATGGTTTTCAAGTTTCACGTTTGTTTCACGGGGGGGAAGGCTTTGATGTTTGGTTTTACATGCGAGCTGCACGCTCATTGTGGGACCTTGTCGTCAGCAGAACAAATTCGTATCAAGTATTCCTGGAGCCTCAGAGCCCACAGCACGTTCCCCAAATCTGCCCACTAAGTAGTGTTGAGTCTTTAGAATTATACCTTTCCCAGATTGAAGTGTCGCTGCCCTTGGCGGAAAGCTTATTTTGATAACTTGATGCTAGCGGAGTGCCACGAGTCGGCCAAGGTACTCTCCTGCAAATGTATTTTTACTTGGGGAAGCAGCATGATGCCATTTGTAGACTTGTGTTCTTCTTGGAATGGAGCACCTTTTTGAGGTGAATCCTCCTTTTTGCGTTTATTCATTCATTTCGACAGGACCGGGAAGCCCTCTCCGACTCGGTTTTTTTCTGGATTTACCCTACATGGATTCTAACTTCCAATAAACGGGCCCTAGCATTCCATACACGTGATGGTCATACCAGAGGACACCCATTTGCTGCCGGTGAAGTTGGCAAACTTGCTTTCTGGCAATTTGTTTGGGCTTCGGACCCCAAAGCTCTTTTTTCCGACCGTGGCTTTGCAGCATCAGCACTTCAGCAGGTCGAGGATGGCCGGGGCTACGGCTGGGCTGTTGGCAGACTGCGACTCAGCTGGGCCCAGCTGATGCGGGCGAAGGACAGAAGGAGCCCTTTGGACTTCTAGCCTGCTCTAGCAATCCACCCTCCACGCGCTTGCATGTTGGCCTGGACAATGGCCCAGCTAGGGGGTTTGTGACACCAATTATTTTGCCCCTCCACTTTTGGTGAGGGGATGCCTGCATAAAACCAATCCGAGAGCAACTTGCTTTGTACCATAGTGCACCTGGTGGAAATGCTGAACAAATACAAACCTGCCCATTCTATAGGAGAACTTGGTTCATTACACGAGCACCAAGGATTGAGACTTTCCCGCCCCTCAAACTGGGATCCATCTTCCCCTTTGTCCTGCCAACCTCATGAATTTCCTTTGCCGGGCAATGTTTACAGGGAAAAGTGGGAAGCCCTTGGACCATAGGCCCGTCCGTCCGCCTCGTACCCCTCGAGGACGCCGAAGTCCGGCGCCTCAGCGGAAAGTATCGGGAGCTCTTGGATGCCTCCAAGGCCGATGCATCCGAGAGGTCGGTTAAAGTAGATGGGAGTTTGATATCCTTTTTGAGGGTGCCCTTCTTGTGTTGGTCTCTTCTGGAGATCCAGGTGGGAAACCAACCATTTTGACAGCGCGGTTTCCTTGGGCAAGCAAAGGGGGTATGACATCTTGAGGGAAATGCCGGCATCCATTGGCTCGCCTGGTTAGTACCCGGGTGCAGTGAGGTCCTGTCTTCCCGGTTGCGCCTTATGAATCAGGGGTCAGGAGTCGGAATCCTAGTACGCGTTGGAGTATCCACCCGTTTGCTTTGGCACCGATACTCATGCAGCGCCAGAGTGGTTGGCTAGCGCTCGCGTACGTGTTGTGAATTGTAGCATTGCCAGCGGTCCGGTATCCCTCCTTTGCTGATCTGGATTGATTAAGGGTTGCAAGCCCCTTTTTTGGTGTTGCAACATGTCAACCTCATTTGCCCACAGCGAATCAATCTGAAACCGCCTTTATTTTGAATCCGGTTTTCGGTATGTTTTAGTCAGCAATTAAGCATTGTGATCAACCCCATACAAGTTGTCCCTTTCCTGCCGGGGTCACTGGGCGAGCCTCGCTTGGCAATTTGCCAGGTGGAGGTCTTCCAGGGCTACGCGCGGATCCTGGACTCTCACACCGTGGAAGTGGGGGGCCGCCGCGTCACCGCCAGGCGTGACCGACCGAGTCTTCAATGGCTCCAATCTGCAGAGGTTTTGCCTGGAAGCGGGGCTTGCGAGATGTGCGCAGAAAAATATAGATGCAACAGGGGATCGTTTGGGAGACTGCGCTGAGAACCGTCGCCAAGAGATTGCGCTGAAAGATGTCACTTCAGAGATTGCGCTCAGTCATGCCACCAAGGGATTACACAGAGGCAGAACTACGAGAGGGACTGCTCAGATAGGCTGCTCAGATAGGAGAACTTGCTCTGGAAGGCTTGCGCCTGAAGATGCTAGAAAACTTGCTCCAGAAGAGCAAAACAAAGAAGCATGCAACCCTTCGCTGGCCGCGGTCGGCGCTCTATGTGGAGCACGCAAATTGCCAGCAGGAGGTTGCAACATTCACAGAAATCCCATTCCATGGGAGGTCACCATTACCGTAGCTACAATAGTTGTCAGGTGCTGTGTTTTGGTGCATTGCATGGTTGGCAACTACCGTACCTGCAAGCTGTTCGACCATTTATTTTTTGAGATTGCTTATTGTATTCTGGAGTTGTTGCTTTAATTTGTTTCAGCTCCACCTTGGCTGATGTTTTTCCCAATGTAAACACCCCTGTTACAGGTTCAAATAAAGTTGGGTTGGGTTGGACCCTAAGATAAGTCATCTATGAATTTTTGTCCAACCCCCTTTAAACGACAACCAACCACCCTTCGGGTTCCTTGATTTCGGCTCGTTCCATTTCGCCAGGTACATTTGCGTGGCCACGGGCAGCCGCGCGGTGCTTCCAGAGATCCCAGGGAAAAGCTTTGCCATCACCAGCGGCTCGGATGGGCTTGGAATGAGGAGAATTTGCAGGAAGCATAGCTGTGTTTCCTGAAACTGGGAACCATGTTGCTTTTCTTCTTTTTGTTTGGGGGAGGGGGGGGGGTTGGCGTTCTCAAAATCGGGTGTTTCCTAAAGCTGAATTGTGTTTTCACAAATGCACCAGGAAGCCAGTGTTGAATAGACAGGTGTTGCGTTAGCAAGGGCAAACAGGTGTTTGTTCTCATTGCCCGATGTTTGGCTGAGTAGCGTCCAAAAGTGCCCCGACTTCAAATACACTCTCGGGTTGCAGGCAGGGCTTTGTGTGGAATTGGTGCCTTTTGGAAAGGCCAACCAGTAGTAGTACACAAGTTGCATGTAGTTTCATGTAGTTTCTGATTGCCTTGACAATTTGAAGTGCGCTGGCTTCCCTTTTGAAGGTTTCCGAGGTTCAAGCAACAGGGTACCTATGTGCGGCTGGTGTCCCGTACTCTTTTGGGGTTCCTCAGCAAGCTTCGGGGGACCGCCTTGGGGCTCCGCATGGTTTCGGCTGAGGCGACGAGGCTTTGACCCTACGACGCCGGCCCAAGCGCATCGTCATCGTGGGCGGCGGGTACATCGCGGTGGAGTTCGCCAGCCTTCTTCGCGGGCTCGGCTCGGAGGCCCTGCGAGCGGCGAGAGCTGTTCGGTGACTACCATAACGCGGTTCATGGCCAGCCAGCCAGCCAGTACCACAGGATTCGCCCACCATTCCAATATCAACCCCCCGGTGATTTTAACAAACGAGGTTTGAGGAGTTGATGAAACGTGGTAAATCGGAACTCCCACACCTCTGTCACGGAAGGACCCAAGGGAACTCGAGAACCGGGCTGGCTTGAGTCCAGGGTTCCGGGTTTCTGGCCTCATCCCCCCCCCCCAAAGTTTCACAGGAAGCTCAACACATTGGCAACCGATGGTGATGTTCAGGCCGCACAATCACGTTTTGGTCTACGAAAAGGAGAGGCCTATTCGGAGCCGCTTTAGCCAACCTGCGTGTGCACGAGGTATGAACCGGGGGAAGCCTTGTAACTCACCAGTGCCAGCGCAGCGAGGTGCACTTGGTCTTCCGTGCCGCTGACCCTCTGCGGGGCTTCGACGAAGATCTGCGACGGCAGCTGCACGAGGCGCTGAAAGCGCGGGGGATCCACCTGCACGCGGGGGAGCGCCCTCAGAGGCTGCGATTTTGTCGAAACTGGTTTGGGCCGTTGTGCGCCCGCCCCCGTCCCCCCCTTTTCCATTGAGGGGTGCCTCAATGTCTGAGTTCTGACCTCCAAAGTGGCACTGGAACCTGCCACTTGGCCGTTCTTCAGGGGGAAATCCAGTTGCCCCGCAAATATGTTTCCTACATTAGAAGAACGCCGACACCTGCCCTGAAACGGGATCGTTGAACTGTTGGACGCATTCGCACGTGGGATTGAACTTGAACAGGCAGTTGCAACATGTGTTTGAACAACTAGTCAGCATAGTCCCCTTCCATTACAGGACACCTGTATGACATGGTTCATGCAGCCAGTGTCCAAAAATGTATGCGGGTTGGCCCAGCCCTTCTAGGCTCAGCACGGGCTGGCGGGGCAAAACCTTCTGGACAGACAAAGGGACAGTCTTGCACGCAGATGAGGTGATGTTTGCCACCGGGCGAGCACCCAACACTGAAGATTTGGGATTGGAAGAGGCTGGTGTGAGCCTGGGGGAGGATGGGCGGATCCTGGTGGATGAGTTCAGCCGAAGCAATATTCCTTCAATTTTCGCCATTGGCGATGTGACGGCCCGCAAATGCCTCACGCCAGTGGCACTCATGGAGGCTGTGGCCTTGGCAGAGACGCTCTTTGGACAGCCCGCAGCTCCTGGGTACGATGGTGTGCCCAGTGCTGTGTTCAGTCAGCCGCCCATTGCCACTTGCGGGCTAACGGAAGAGCAGGCGGCTGAGAAGTATGGTGGGGTTGATGTGTTTCTTAGTAAGTTCAAGCCGCTGAAACACACAATGCCTACCGGCCGGGGAGCACAGGAGATGTATTTCATCAAAGTGCTGGTGGCGAATAGGGGCCGCAGCGCGGGGCAGGTGGTGGGTGTGCACATGGTGGGGGAAGACGCGCCGGAGATCATGCAAGGCCTGGCCATTGCATTGAAAGCTGGCGCCAGCAAGGCCGACTTTGACGCCACGGTGGGGATCCACCCCACCGCGGCAGAGGAGCTGTGCACCTTGCGACAGAAGGCTAGGAGCACCAGCAAAAAGATGGATGCGGCCGCGCCTGGGGACCGAGACACAGTTCTCCGGATGCGTTGCGAGAAATCACCTATCTTACGTGCGTGTCAGTGTCTGTTTGGGTGCTGCTATGGCGCACTTCGGGTCCCCTTCGAACCAGACACTTGGGAGTGACAAAATGCAACGTTCTAGTACTGAAATGAATCATTTGGCCCGTTTGGCGCAACTCGAGCCTTTTGTTCGGAGGACGGCGGCCGGGGGCCACCTTCTGAAGCGCCGCCCGGGGCTCAAATTCGCCAGCTATACCCGAATTTGTTTGCAAACTTCTTGGTGCTGGTTCAAGCTTGGCACCCCCCCCCCCCACAAAAAAAAACAAAACACCTGCCTTGGCAAAAAGACCTCTCGCCAAGCCGAGGCCCGAGGCGCGGTGGTCCTTCTTCGATGGCAAGGAGAGCGGCTGGAAGGAGGCTGGAAACCGGGACAGCTTCGTTCTCGCGTGCAGGGCACCTTTCCCGCCAGAGATTTCTCCGGCGAGCTTGGAATTGGAACCCTTTGAATCAACTTCGTGGGGCTGTTGAGACTTGCCCATGTCTGCAAGAAGGACAATGAAGAGAGACATGGAGAAGAGAGAGATAAACAGACAAAGACTTTCTTCAAGCGAGGCGCGCGCGGTGTTTCGGTTTGCCCATCCGCCAGGATGCCGCAGTCCAGTGCAGAGCCGTTGAGCTCAAGGAGAAGAAGGCTGTGGAGAGCGGGCCGTTTCTTCGATGGGTTGCTGTTGATGGGCCGTGGCACGCCCAAGTGAAGCGGACAAACGCGACAAACGTCTCCAAGAGCGGCTTTCTTCTCTGAAAGCGAACGCGGGCCCAAGAAATATAGCCTGTGGAGCAACCTTCCTTTCGGGGTGCCCACCCACTCAAGGCAACAAGCGCAACACCTTGCAAATCCATAGGCCATGGGCGCCTAAACCCTCCAAGCAATGGCAGACATCCCTGGTTTCCCACGGGGGCAAGGTGCAAGCTGGTTCGCGCTGATCGTTTGAAAGTTGGTGCGGCACAGGCGCGGCCCGAGGCGAAGCCCAGACAGGAGGAGCTGACGGCCCTGGCCGCTTTAGCTGGCCCCATCGCTACGCTGCGTGGTTGCCGGCTGTGTGTCCTAAATTGGGGACCCCGGTTCGGGTGAGCCAGCCACCCTTTGCTCAAAAATCCGATTCTGATGTTAGGAAAGACTCGATGATGGGGAAGCTTCAATTCCCAAGAGGGATTTAGCTTGCAAGCCTTGGCTGCGAGGAGGCTTCAGCCGTGCAGGAGCCAAGCAAAAGATGCTGCCATCGGTTGCGTGAGCGGTCTAAACTTGGCTGATGCCCGTCATGTCAAACAACACTGCCACTGGATTCGGTATGGCACCAAACGTTTGGAGGGGGCCTTTTGACACATGCCCAAGAGCAGGTTTTATGTTCTGCTACATACAGTAGCTAGGAGATTCAAGATTCTTGACCCACCTGTGCATGCAGAGAGAAGAGTGAGGTTGGGTCTTGTAGCACATTGGCACGCACTTTCAGAATGTCCGTCAGTTTGCAGCCCCAGAGTGGGCTCTCGGTATGTCGGTTTTTCTCTTGCAGGAGGAGATCAGCTCAGACTCTGCAAGGCGCCTCAGAGGTTTGCCCAGTGACCGAGGTCTGAATCAAGCATAAGCATTTGGCCTGTTTCCAAACAAGGAGTTTCCGTCGGACAGGTTGTCGCGGTGTGAGCTTGTGCTGCTTCAAGACTCCCACAACTCACCTTTGCCACCCTTGGAGGAAACCAAGGTGCTATTTGCTATTTGTTTTTTGTTTTTTCGATCTGGCTGTTTCAAGCCGTTTAAGCCGCCTCCATCAAGGACAGCAGCAGTAGCAGCAGCGGCAAAGAGGGCGATGACAATGAGGCGGACGGCCCGAGTTGCGCGATGTCAAGAAAGCCCTTATGATTCATGTGGGTCCATGTGGCACAGTGGCAGAAGCAAAAGATTGTACTCCCCAACGCTGGCCTCGTTCAGGCTCTGCTTGAGGTTTTGTACCTGGCGAGGGGAGTAGGGTACACACATGTTTGGTGCGCGGCAGGGGGTTCGATTCCCCTCCCACCTGCTGCCGTTACACACTGTCCGCACACTTGCTGCTTTGCTGCTTGTTTAGACTTGCTAGTTCGATGGGGCTGGACTGGTTCCTCGCGGAACCCAAAGATCATTTTCAACTGGAATCTCCTTTCGGGCCCCTTTTGGGTTTGATGTTGATGGGCAGGGCATGTCACTTACCCAGCAACTCCCTCAGCAAGCCACGCCAGATCCGTTGCCAGGAATCTGGGGGGGAGACGGCCAGTGAAGCGGCGCCCGCACCTTCGGCAGCGCCCGGCGGTGTCAGCCTCAGATGCAGAGCTTCTTGGACCCTTGTTTCGTTTTGCTCCTTAAGTCAATCTGAGTGTCAATCCAAGGGGCTAGGAATGCAATGGGCTAGCAATGCGCTGCATTCTTCTAAGTACTTCAAAGTACTACTAAGTGCTACTACTACTACTACTACTACTACTACTACTACTACTACTACTACTACTACTACTACTAAGTGCTGCTACTACTGCTGCTGCTGCTACTACTACTGCTGGTGCTGCTGCTACTACTGCTGCTGCTGCTGCTGCTGCTACTACTACTACCACTGTACAACAACTGCAACTGCCCATCCGCTGCAACTACAACTACAGCTTTTGCTGCAGCAACAACAGCAACAACAGCAGCAACACAAGCAGAGATAGGGCAAATGGATGGCTGCATGTTCGATTTCAGTTGTGTATGCGTAAAGCGCTCTCGTTGGGCCCCCTTTCGCAGTTCTTTTGGCCCTGCCCATTCTACCCATATATGAGAACCAAAATCAACAGCCTTGATCCCGGCTGAATGCCTGAAACAAGCAGCCTGCAGGTGTCCAACTGGCTTTGACTCATTCCCATCTCTTGGCTGTGCTTCGCGCAAAGCTTTTGCCGCCAAGTTGCTGCCAAGCTGCTGGGGCGAGGCGGTTTGAGCCCGTGCATGTGGTTCTGCGCCTCTTTACATCAAGCTGTTGGGAGCTGGGTGGGGCAGACGCCTTCAGGAGCTCATGGTTCAGAAACGGAAGGCCTTTTAGCTGCAAGTGCCAGGATCCCAGGCGCGCCCCCGCGCCTGCGCCAAGATGCTGGCGCGCAGGGGCCTCAATGAAAGCCACTCCGGACCAAAGTTCCGAGGTTTATTTTAGTTTGGGGACCCTTTGGTTGGCATGAGCACGCAGGCTAATTACCCTTGATTGCAGTACAGGTTCATCTTTCCGGGATTGTCACGCTTCAGTTTGCCGACGCTGTTGTTTAGGTTCATTGACCAAGAGGGACCCGGGTTGGCCCGCGCACTTTTGTTTCCTTCGGTGGATTGTTCACAGTTTTTTTTGGCACTGGGTCGATTTGTTTGATGGAATGGAGATCATGGCTCATGAGACCCACCTCTTGGTTTGTGAGGCCAGGGCCCACCGGCTTCCTGAGGTGCGGGCCTCCGGTGCCCCTGTCACTTCTCCTACCGGAGCGAATGCCCAGGGGGCCCAGGCCAGGGGCCTCAAATGGGCCGGCGCAGGGCTGGCACGCCACACAAATGGCACTTCCTGGGGTTGGGGTCGTTGGCATGGGCACGCTTCAGCCTTCAAAGCCATCCTGAGATGGCCTTGCCTGTTCGCACCCCCAGACGGTATCCAGACATGAAAGGCAAGGAGCCCCAAACCACTGCTTGTTTGGGCGTTTGTCTTTGGCTGTCCTGGAACGGCAGATTTGTTGTTTGCATCACCGATTGGCCTGCCATTGCCAGCAAGCAGCAGAAACTAATGCGGGTGAACGGTGGTCTTGTGCGGTTTGCCACCAAGGTCGGGGATAGTTCCGTTCACCGCTTGCTTGTACAAAAGGGAATGCATTATCTTTTTTGCTAGTGCCCGTCTTGTCAAGCAGACTTGCTGCCTTCAAGTCGGGGGCAATTTGTGTCAGACTCTTGGGGGCTTAAGTTCAGCATAGGAGGGGGCTTTCTCAAGGTAGCTTGCCGGGTTTCTCTGGAAAATCTGGGCGCAAGCTCGAAAAGTCTGCAGAGTTTGAGGTGCCCGCGGTGCATCCTGAGTGGCCTCAGCAGGCGCGCCAACTGGCTGCAGTAAAGCAAGAAGCATGGCAAAGCAAGCATGAGTCATGAGGAATAAGCGACAATCTTCATGCACGACAGCTCAAATTTTGTGCTTGACTTGATCCGGTCCTGACGTGACATGGCAACTCAGTGTCTCTTCAAGATCTATTTGTCCATTTGGCTTTGACATGATCGTGACACTTGCTGACTGCCGCAGGCCTCTTGGGCAAATCCGGGCAGTTTCTTTGGAGACTTTGGAGGTGTCAGCGAGCTTGAACCCCCGAGAGCGCCTCACGTGCGCACAAGTCGTGGATGAATGTGGAGGGTTGACACAAAACACGGCTCTCTCTTTTTGTGGAATCCCCATTGGCTGCGATATGCTGCGATACACACGTCACACACAAAGCCCAACACGGGCCAAAGCTGACTTTCAGCTTTTGGCAACCCTCCGATGTGGTGTGCCTGCCAACGAGACGTAAGTCAAATGATGAAGTGACCGCCAACCCGCCACGCAAGAAAAGGCCGCGTGAGACTGCAGGCTTCGCTCCTGGGAAATTGGCCAATCTTTGGTTTTGAGTTCAATGCCCCTGGCCAAATCCCCAACGTGTTAACAATTAGACTTGGGGGAAGAGGGCGCCCCCTGGATTTGATGCGTGGAAGTGCGACCCCCCCCCTTCCTCACCCCTTTTGAGGGTAGGGTGACATGTGGCAGTGGAGAATTTTGACTCGCCCTTCCGCGGCCTTTTAGCTAGGCCAGGGACCGCAGGCAAGCCCAGACGGGCTCGGTCTGACTTGGCCATGGGCCGCAGCCTTGGTCCGCGCGATTTGGGGCGACCGGTTCGTCAGCCCTTCGCCAAACGGCCGCTCTGGTTGTTCGGCATCACCCAGGCTCTGATGACAGAGCCAAGAAAAAGACCAAAACAGCTGCCGCCGTCGCGCGGGCCTCGGCTTTTTGGGTTGCCGTGGTGCGGCTTCCTCTCAACATGCAACATGTTTGCAGGACGATGTGCTGGGTGGGTCTTGGCCTCAGAACTTCTGTGAACAGCTCACAACGCCCCACATCTGCAGAATCAGTAGCAACTGCAAACCCAACAAGCCGTAAGCCCCCTGCCAGAACTGCCTAACAATTGGAGTTGTTAGGCAGTTCTGGCAGGGGGAAAAACAGAACGGAGCACCGGGTGCGTTCGGAGGCTTTACGACTTCCTCCCACCGCCGGATCCCGTCAAGGACGAGGCCGCAAAGGCCGCTGCTGTCCGGTGCCCAGGAAAGAGGAGGTGGCGAGGGCCAGTGCAGCAGACTGGGCGCAAAACAACCGTTTTGCTTCTTTGAAAGGACGATTGACACGGTGGTGGGCTTTCACTTTCCCGGCTCCCCCTGAGAATCCAGCAGGAGATGGCCGCAATAAACGAGCTTGCTCAAGTCAGGCTTTGAAGTACTTTCTAAATGCTGCCGAATCAAGACGAAGGTATTTGTCCTTAGATTATGTTTCATGGTGCTTCTTTGAATACCGAAGAAACACGGGAGAGTTCTCATGCGGATGCATTGCCACATTGCCATAATAGCGTTGGCTGCATGCACACCCAGTTTCCACGTCATCTGACGGCTCAGCCACAAGCGCAAAGGTCAAGAATCATCTTTCGAGACCCGCGCTTCCTCCTGCGGACAAGACAAGGCTCCGGCAAGTCAGTTCAGCCACGTGCGTCAGCTGACGGTACAGCGTGCCGTCATGTGATTTGCAAGAGACGGAACATGCACTCCTTGAGCTGATGTATGTTTGAGCTTCCTTTGCCCACGAGCTCGTGCCAATTGTTTCGTAGAATTTGCGGACCTCGCAGGGTGATCTTCCTGGATGTGGATGGGGTGATCCTGCCAGCTGGTGCCGCAAGGGGTTGATCCAGACTTTGCGTGGGCTGAAGGGTTCGCCTTCCTCTCGAAATCATGGACCCTGCAAGTTTAGAGTCTGAGGCGATTGGAAGGGGGGGACGTTTGGGGAGCCCCTCCCCCTAGGGCAAATTCTGCAGGCTCCATCGACATGATTGTCGTGGACGGCGTGACTCTCCCTGCCAAGAGCCATGCCCCATCCCTGGAAGGGCCGCGCGAGGGCCGCCGATTGGCACGTACTGTGGCAAAATATGGAGGCTTGGCATGCTCTCCCAGTGACAAGCCAAGCAAGGCCTCTGCACTCTCGTGATTTAACTTGGCTAGAATTGCATGTTGTGTGCGAATGATCCACTCATGCCCCTTCAGGAGGTATAAGTCTTTTTCCTCAAGGCTTCAACAAAGCCATGCTTGACTGCACGGTGATTGAGAGGGAAGTTGTTTTAATCTCCGGAAAAAAGCAATGAGTGAAGGGAAAGGGCAAAGATGTGATCCAACATATTGCCGTTCCGACGAGCTCATTGCGATAACTAGTTTAAGCGTTTGAGATCAAGCAAAGATGATGCCGGCCTCTGGAGGTTGGATTCGTGGCTTGGGGATGTGACCCCCCGGTTCTTGCAGCGAGCAAATGGGGAAAGGAACACCTCCAAATCACTGGGCTCCAAATCGCCAAGATGGCTTCTGAAAGAACGGACGAACCTTTGGACCTTGGCGCGCGCTACGCGTTGCGGTATTTTCTGCCTAGATCCATTTGAATTCACGGAGTAATGGCCCCAGGCCCTGGAAACGTTGGCCTGTGATGTTCAGGCTCTTTTGGCTCAGATGCGCATTCCCTGTTGTTTAGTTCCCTTCTGGATCCTTCTAGTGTTCCACTTGGTTTCGACAATTCTCTCCTAATGAGCATCGTCAGGTTCCTGTGCGTTTGCTTTCTGGGGGCGTGCCCTTGCCCTTTGAACCCAGTCGCTTGATTTGGTATGGGTCAAAATTAAAGCACCAGGGGACCGCAGGTTTTAGTCCTTGGTTCCATTTACTAGGGTTCCAAAATGGATACCCACTTTTGACCCACAGCCATTTCCTGTTGGTTTCCTCTGGGCAAGTTGAGGTGAAAGAGAGCGACTTCTCTGCACAAGCCCTGGGCAGCCTGCGCGCCGTAGCGGACTCAGAAGAGAAGATTACGCTGTCACAGTGAACTGGCAGGGAACAAGAGGGTCCTGCCAAAGGGGGTCCCTCGATCCACAACTGTTTATGCAAATGCCGCGGTGCAGCACCAATTAGATGAGCGTGTTTGGGGTGACAGGGCGACCACCCCCTGCTCCGCCCATGGAAGCCCGGCGGACTGTGTTTTCCTACCACGCAGCGGGGAACGCTACAACATTAGAGCTCCTGGATGGAACCTGATCGACTTTCCGGGAAGATTTGCAGGCAGTCGACCAGACCCATGCGTGTTGGTCGTGTTTAGGTCATGCTCCTCTAGATTGTCTAGTGGCTTTGTTTGATTTCCTCGCGGGAGTGAGTATCGTTTGACAAGTGGCAATGGAGCGTGAATTGAATGCTTCAATCAACCCTGATGAAATCACAATGTGAAAGCAGCACAAAGACAGACAAAGGTGAATGAGTCCCCTGTGGCTGTGATCAGGCATCGTTTTTGCTGTCCTTGATGCACCATTGGTCAATGAGGTGTACGTGCATGCATGGTGTCAATGCATACACATTTGTGGTGAATGCAAGTTTTAGTTTTAAATGTCATTCTTCTGCTTGAAGCTCTACACTCGCAACAGTGGCTTCAAACACGGCAAGGACATCAAAGGCTTGCAATTTCCCATGGCCTCGCCAGCAAAGAGAAAACTTGCACTTGGCGAATCATATCCGGTTCCTGTCCGACTTGGTACACCACAGAGCAGGACAGAGCAGTTGACTGGTTTTCAATGAATTCGCTCCGCCCGCAGATTGTCCAGCAGACTGGCGCAACCATAGTTTTGTCCTCCGAGTGGAGGCCGGGCTTTGAGAGGCTGCGGGGATTGCGGGTTGCAGGGGGGGTTGTGGGGATTGGGCTGCATTTTGCCGTGGCATGCATTTTCTTTCACAAAAAGGCCACCAAAAGTGCAAAATCATGCGTCTACGCCACCAAACGTGTGGCAAGCCAAGCAGCCCCAGAAGTCAAGTACCCTTTCTACTCGCTATACTTTAGCTGCTTCCGCTTGGCGTGCAACTCTCGGGCTTTCCTTCGCACTTCAGTCGCCCCATGTTGCTCCACACCACCCACACCAAGCCGGTTTCGGATGGCAGGCGAGGGGAGGACTTGAAGTCCTCCATCAACGCCGTGCTGAAAAGCCAGGACCCGGCCATGGCACCGGCAGCTCATGTCCCAGATTTGCGGCACGGAAAACCACCCAGCTTTGCAGAAAGTATGTGCAGCGTCGTGCAGGTGACGCAAAGATGCATGCTTGCCTTTGCAGGATATCCCCTACATCCGGGATGCCACGCCTATTTTCCAGCCCAGGACTGTAGCTTGCATGCTGTCATGAATGAATGGTGTCATGACACTGTGTCCTTTGGGGTGGTTTACCCAGGTTGGCAGGGACACGCTCCGCACAACATGCTCAACCCACTTTGGTGATAGCGTGGATGCCAGCCTGAATATGTTCATCCAAAAAACAGTGGTCAGTCGGAGGGGGACACGTGAATGATCCACTCGGCAAAACGCTGGCATGTTCTGCTTGCGGCGCAGGCCAGAACTTCAGAAGGTCCAAGCCGCATGAGAAGTGTTTGCTTGTCCATTTCTGGACGCAAGCACTTTGCTTTTGCTTGTGCATGGTATCATGGGATCGAGCTGGGATATTTGTTGGAACTATTTACGAGGTTGGCACTTGGTCAAACCATCGGTTTTCAGCATGGCCCCTTGTACATGAGCGTTTTGGCAGAAAGTCAGCTGCTCCGAGCATGCCCCCGCTGGCGACAGGTGAACGTCATTCACGCCTGGTGCGAACGACGTGCCAGAGAAATAGGCAAGTGGCTCAAGGAGAGCTTCCCAGGAGGTTTGTCCTTGCGAGATACTTGGCTCGTTGCTCAGAAGATGAGCCTCCCTCCAAGAATCAAGGAAGTCCTCAAGATTTTGACCATTACAATGGCGGCAGCCTTCCAGCCCATTTTATCAGGCTCCGTGATTGTAGAAGGGGCCCAGTGCTGGCAACCCTGATTGATAGGGAGCCTGCTCGTTGGTAGGGAGCCTTTTGCCAAAGAAAGAGATTGGATTGCCGCTAGAGTGGGTGCCACGAACCAGCCAACCAACCAACCAACCCCACCCAACCCCACCCAACCCCACCAACCCACCAACCAACCAACCAACCAGCCAGCCAGCCAACCAACCAACCAACCAACCAATCAACCACCCAAACCCAACCAATCAATCACTTAACCCCACCCAACACCACCCACCAACCAGCCAACCATCCAACCAACCACCCAGAGCCATCTAACCTTGCACTTTTTGGGAGGGCTCAGTTGTGAGGTGGTACTTCTAGGCATTTGGGATTCCTGGGTTCGCATATTTTCCTTGGGAAATTCATCAGGCAAAGCAAGCTGTTTTAGCTGCTGCATCTTATGCTTGCTGCAACCGGCAAAATTGAAACATGCAAGCGGCAAGCGACGTGCCACAGGATCATCCTGAAGTTACCTCATGGGTTGCCTTGGACGATCTCGACTTCGACTGGGCTGATGCCCTGAGACAAGCTGGTCCGATGCCTCACTGTCGATATCTGTCGCGAGTTGCACATCGCACGTGGATGCTTTCAGCTTCTCCTGCTTTGTCGCAGGGACGCCATGGATGAAAATTCGATCCGTGCACACCGACGATAGAATTTGCCTCACTGATGTGGGGAGCTCGATGCTGCATTTCGATGCTGTCTGCGGCCCTCGCATGAACTTTGCAGTGCTTTGCGCTTCAGGAAGGTGCTCAGGAAGCTGTCCGAATCCTGTTTTACCCACCCCCGGATCCGAAGGCGCTTTCGCATTCAAGAAGCCGCTCGGCAGAAACGTGCTCGCTTGGGAGGTGATCCCCCGCGCGGTCTTCACTCAGGCTGCCAGCCAGCCAGTGGCCCAGCATTTGAAGCCGAAGCAAGTTGGAAGGAAAGTATTGCCTGGCATTTCAAGACGTATTCGCCCCCTTTCAAACTTTCCCAGGTTTCCTTAACATACTATAGTGTTTCTATAGCTTGTCAAAACGAGCTTGGGGATGTCGCCTTCCTCGTGCAGCCGCCCACCAAAAGGATTTGTAGTCTAATTAGGCACATCATGTAGAAGTTATCAGATCATTTCCCTCAAAAGCACAAAGAGCTGCAAGTGCCCTGGACGTTGACGTTTTCCCAGCTTGTTGACAGGTTCTTTTTTGAGACAGGCGACTCAGAGAAGAGCCATCAGTGCCCAAACAAGACCACGGCTTGGACGTAGTGGACAACGGGAAACCGCGGGGAAGGGCGCGTTTCTGCCTTGCCCTTCGCGGCCGAAGGAATGGAAAGATGCTGGCCAGCACTGAGGCTCGCAGGGCGTGTTGCCTGGCGAAGAAGCACACGAGATAGAGATAGAGAGAGCGAGAGAAGCGTTCTTCAAGAAGAGGGGACGCCTAAAACCAGGTTTACTTTTGATTTCAAAAGGACCCGTTGTTTAGGCACCCTCCATGCATGTGCCACAGTCAACCAACAATCATGGACGTTGAGAATGGCAACCATTGTCTTGAAGAGGTCAACCGTCATCGAGTTGGCATAGCGTGGGATGTCTCATTCCGGCTTGCGGATCCCAGGGCACAACTTGAGGGAGGTGCAGCTTCTTTTCTGCCAGGATTCTGGTCCAGAACGGATTCGGCTTGGGTGAGAGCTTCCGCGTTGGGTGGGCATCCCAATTCGCCTTTGTTTCTTTTGCAGTGAGGGCTTGCCTCTGGGTCGTCTTCTTTGAGGGCTTTAAAGGGTGTTAACACTTTTCGAGATCCCTTTTGTTTGCCTCATCAGTGAGTTGCGAAGGTGATGTTGAGGGGGCACGGGATGCCGGCCAGTTCCTTGCCAGCATTCTCTTTGAACCGGAACCAAGACGGCTTTCACCGGAGCGGCGGGCTAATGAGGCACCAGTTGCGTGGGTCAAAAAGGAGCAGTGGCCTGCATGTTCTTGTGGCATTGTCAAGTCGTTTCAGTGGCGTGCCACGTGCCAGATCCTTGTGTTACGTGGCTGATTGAGTAAGAATCTGCCCATTCGTGGCTCAATGTAGCTCACGATTCTTCGGTTGGACGACCTTTCCAATGCCCTGACTTGGCTCAAGCAGTCTGAAGTGAGCAGCAAATCCGAACTCGAGACCTTTTCTGAGGAAACGGTTTAGCAAGCCGCTTTGCCTGTCATGTATCGGGCTGGGACCCTGGACGCTGACCTCAAACAGCTTCTCGAACAGCCAGATCTCTGAGGTATGCAGAGGATGGCTTTCAGCAAGAATTGTAGAGCTGACGAGAACAGATCTGCAGCCCTAAATAGCTGAGCAAGAGAAATGGAATCCCAGTGTAATTAGCTTGCGCAATGTGCCAAGCTGCGCTTTCCGGCTCACAAGCCATGCCCTGTCGCAGCCTGCGCGGGGGGGTTTCCTGACATGCACTTGGCGCTGTCCTGCGACAAGCTGCCAAGGGCTATTTTTCGGGAAACCATCCGCAATTGGGCACGCTTTGCCCTTGCCCAAGAGGCTTCTTCCAAGCCCCATCCCGTCTGAGGCATAGATGGAGGGGCGGCAGGGGCCCTATGACCGCGTCCCCGTGGCGATGTCATCGCCCCCTTCAGACGTGTGCCCCTTTTGCCGCTGGCCCCTAGACCGCTGGGTGCAGATCCGGCTCGGGAAGAAGCGGTGCCATGTGCTGCTTGGCCCACGTTGGCAAGAACAGACGCCGCGTTGGGTTGCTTTGATGTAGTGGGGCGATCTGGGTCCTAGGTTGATCATGGCCCATGGCCCATGAGTTTCAGCTTGCCGCTTGCCTTGCCCCTGCCAATCCAATGTGTGTCTTGGAGCACAAGTAGGGCATGATCTGGTGAGCACGGCATTCCGTCATGGCCTGTGAGAAAGTCTGGCTGTCAAAAGGGGTTGCCATGGTCATGAACTGGGCCCAGGCACATGCCAGGTGCCCAACCAAGTGTCCATTGCCGGATGCCAACACCCACAGTTACAGTGACTATGGCTTGAACGCATTAAACATGAAGCTTGTTGGCTCTTTGGCTGCTTCTTTTCAGGGTTCTTTTCTCCCTTGTCGGCCCGTGGGTCAATCATTCTGCGAGACCGCAGACATCGCGAGTCGCGAGGCTGTGCCTGGCCCAGTCCTCCCAGTCCTCGAAGGAGAAGGCCGCGGCGCGGGAGCTCTTGGAGAGGAGCCCGGGCCTGGAGAAGAAGCGCCCCGCGGCGCGGATCAGCGGGGAGGACTCCGAGCCGAGTGACCGAGTGACTGTGATCCGACGCGAGCCGACGCGAGCGGAGAAATTGAAAACGTGTGGCAGGTGGAAACCCGGCGGAAATTGAAGAGAGACTCAAAGGGGGGTTGTGTCAATTCTTGTTGCTGGTGGCTGGTTTTCGAAAAAACGGTTCGATGATTTTTTGGGGCAGGAAGCTGCATTTGACTGGCAAGGTGCAACTGTCAAGGGGGGGGGGGTGGGGGGGTGAGACTTCAATTTGGACTGACCTAATTCTTCAACTCTTTGGTTGACCACGTTGACCTCATGTGCGCGGCCCTCCAGCAACAGGTGAAGCGCCTAGAATCGTCATTTCTTCCCAAGAGGTAGCAGAATGTGCCCCCAAACGCGTGCTTCGAACTTGCACCCAGGGCAGCCTATTAGTAAAATAAAGCTTCCCGGTGTGGCGTTGGAAGTCATAGGCCCTTATTAGGTTCAGTTTGAATAGGCCACTATTTTAGAAACGTGGGGCTATAGGCGGGGGGGTGCATTTTTGTTCCCCCTGGCGAGTTAATCGGCCCAACGCCATGGCCCTGAGGCAAGCAGCCAGCATGTTGCCAGACTCAGTTGCCCGATTGAAGTAAGTTGATCTTGATATTTTGCGTTGAGGTCAAAGATGAAGAAACGATACATTTCCAACCAACCAACCAACAAACCAACCAAGTCCTTTGGGCAAGTATGGGTGGAGGAAGCTGGTTGAAGGCTGTAGGCCACCAGCTTTTCCCTCAGGAGGAGAGGACGACACAAGCAGGTGCCAGTGGAAAGGCACCCGACTGGCCTTTTCAGAGTTTGCCACCGGCGCCCGTCGCGATCTTCCATTTGGAGGTGCGCACCCATCCCTTGGCCAACTCGGTTTGGCCGCCAAGGAGCGTACCCTTTGCCACGCCCCTTGATGACCAGCGCTGCCTGGTACATGTTTTTAAGTAAGCCAGTCTCACACCACGGCAGATTGCAGATGGTTTTGCAAGGGCCTACTTGCAATGTGTATTTAACGCAATCAAACCAAACCGACACGCGTAGAAAATGCTTAAAAGAGAGCTACCTTATTGCTTTTCCGTGAGCTGTTCATGATTGTGTTTTCTTGTAAAGCCTCGTGACGAATGGCGTAACCATTTGCCCCCCCTTGGTGGAAATGGGTTGGCTCCTGTGATGTCCCTTTGAAGCGGGGGGGGGGAACGGGCGGGAACGGGGGTCTTCCAGTCCGGTCACGTCCGGAGAGACATGGCAGGGAGTCCTGGAGATTCGGATCTCCTCCAGCGGCTTGACCAGCCTCCCGCCGGAGATCGGACAGGCGAGGCAGCTGGAGACCCTTTGCCTCATCTCCAACCACCTGTCCACGCTGCCAGCAGAGGTGAGGGGAGTCGGTCGGCGAAGACGAAGAAACAAAAGAAGCAGAGTCAGGTGACTCTGTGTAGGTTTGTTTGTTTGTTTGTTTGTTGGTGCGCCTTCAAGAGTGGGCACTACCAGTTTGCTGCAGTATCACCACGGATATCATTGATGATCCGATGTTTGTACACAGTGATCAGGTGGGCCGGCTTGCCAACTTAGTTCACCTCTACTTGAACGGCAACTTCATCACGACCTTGCCGGAGGAAGTGTGTCGCCTGCCAGCTCTGACCGAGATTTGCTTGGACGCGAACCTGCTGGAGCAGGCGAGGAGCGCAGGGCAGAGGTGCGGGGCAGGCTTCAAGAAACACCCGGGCCGATAAACAGGAAGGACGGTTCCGCTCCTTCAATGAACGGGTGATTGGGCCTCATGCGCGCCTCGCGGAGCTGGCTTGAAAGGAAAGACCGCAACAACAGGCAACATTTACAGTTGGAGCTGGAGCATCCAATCCGTTTTGAAAATGTGTTCCTTCTCAAGCCAGGTAAAACAAGTCATTTCTACCCTTCCCCAAAGCTTCTGGCATGCCATCGCCTTACTCGCCGGAAGGTTCCGCCCTTCACCTCTGAGAAGCTCGTGTTGTACACGGCGCCTGCCAACAAACTCCTGGAGTTGGGCTTCAACCCCTCTTTGGAGCGGCTGGAGGTGCATGGCAACCAGCTCAGGAGGGTGTGAGAATGTGGGGAAGGGCCTGCCCCCCCCCCCCCCTTCCCCCGCCAAAACCATATGTGTACACAATATTTATATATATATATATTCATCTACTTATAATTGGTCGGCTTTTTTGTGGGCTTTTGGGTTTTTGGAGAAGCCTATGGAGAAACCCAAGGGCACCACGGCCAGGAGCTTGCAGGACTGGACGTGGAAGTCCTGCTGCAACCTGGTGACCTTGAAGGCAGGGCAGCTGAGTTTGGAGGAGTCCGGACCCATATTTGACAATCGGAGGAATGTCAGGAATCGCCATGAAACGGAACGATTTTGCACCAAACGGGGAATCGCCCCTGATGAGGTTAATTCGAAGTTGACGTCTTCAGCTATCAAAAGGCCAAGCCAAGGTGCCAAGGAGTCTTGGCCTTTTTCCATAGGCACCTTCAAAGGGGTTTGTCAAGTGGGGCTGCCGTGGGCCGCCCCTCTCCAGCTTCCAATTGGAACAGCGGTTTCAATGTGGTTTTCTCTTGCAAACAGCCCGCCAATCAAGAAGCAAACACCCCTCAAACAGGGGGGGTCTTGTTGCCACCTTTGGTGGAAACATATTTCGACCCCCTTGTAGTGAAGGATTCCTTTTTGAGGGGGTTGCCAATTTTCTCACCAAGGGGGAAAAAACACCCTGCCCTCAAACGGCCCTCCCCATTGTCAGAACTGCCGTAGGTCATGGGCAATCAGCTCACGGAGCTGCCTGAGGAGGCGCCGAGCAGCGCAGCGCCCTGCCGAATGTGCTGGTTGGGTTCGCTTGAGGGCTGCGTAGGGGTCCAAACCAGGTGGATCACGTCCAAAGTCGGCCACAGTAAAAACGAGTTGAGAATGGGGAAGTGGCTTGCATTGCATGTGCCTCTCGGGAGCCTCCCGGGGCTTGGATGAACCTTTCCCCCGATTTTGAAGGCTGGAAGGCAGATTTGATGGATCCTTGGCATTTTGGCTGCAGGGTCTTGGCCGCCGGTAGCCAGGGCCGGCCAAAGCAAGAGCGGCACTTTCCGGGTGCCGGGGTAGGGGATTCGAATCGGATCCGTGCCGATTCCCATGGCGGATGGGATGCTGCGGTCCCCGACCTTTCTGGTCGGGGCGGAGAGGCAGCGGAAGAACTTAGATGAATTCAAAAGGAGGGAGCAGCAGCTGGCAGAGGCCTACCACAAGAATAAGCCGCTCTGCTTCAATGCATGTTCCTACCAGAAGACCCACCCTGTGAAAGCGCAGAAGGGCCACAAGGACGCAGATGCGTGCTTGACGGTGCCTTTGGTGCTTGGAGTGGCGGACGGCGTGTCTCAAATCGAGGACTTCGGGATCGATGCTTCCATGCTCCCCAACGAACTGCTTCAGGTAGTGGAGCAGCTGGGCATGCATCAGCTGATCCCTGGTGCAAAGCTGACACAGGCTGCTCACCTAACCCATTGGCCGACCTTCTGACTTTGTGCGTTTTGCTTTCTTCTCAACTCCTGTGTCAAATTTTGCTTCTGGATGCGTTCATCTTTTGAGCCTGAGGCTGACACCTACCGCGGCCCAGTTTCGATGCTTAGAAGAGCCTTCGAGGCTACAGAGAGCCTTGGCTCCCTGACGGTGGTCTTGGCGGTTATGGACAACAGCACCCGCATCCATGGCAAGCTGCGCCCCGCCCAAAGCCTTTGGCCTTTGTTTCCTTGGCCTTGGTCGGACTGAGCCTTACTAAAAGGACACACACACACACACCTTCCCTTTTCCTTGGGGGGGGGGTCGGCAAAAGAAGACACACCCTTAAGGTCACCCTTATGCATTGCTCGCGAAGCCTTGCCTCAAAGGAGGGTGGCAGCATGGACACGGACAAGAACTGTCTTCCGTTCAAAGTTCCCACCCACTGGGCTTCCTTTGACCGACGTTGGGCAACCATGAAAAAGGGTTTTGCCCCGCAGGATGGCGAATACAGTTAGGGACAGCCCATTGAAGGAGCCATTTGCAGGGGAACCACTGTTCCAGTGAGGTTCCCCACAGCAACCCCAAGGGTTCCCAACAGCAACCCCAAGAGTACCCCTCCAAAAACGAGACCCAACGAGAGTCGCATGGCTTTTCCAGTTTCAGGCACCCGATGATCGCCATCATCACCGTGGGGGACTGCGAGCTCGTGGTGCTGCGCCGCGTCCAGGGCCAGCGGGCGCCGCTGGAGCTGGTCTGCCACACAGAGATGCCCCGCGGCGCGTTTGGGTCTCGTGTGCTGGTGGGGTCTGTTTCTTTCAAGGGAACCACCGTTTAAAGAGAGGGTAGGTTTTGGAGGATGTCACGGTAGTGGGTTCAGTCCGGGTTCCTTTTGTCATTCCGCCACCCTGCGTGCAAGAAACAGGGTCAATTGCCCCTCCATTGCAAAGTCACCAGGAATGTGGGGAAAGGGCCCCGACACAGACTTTGATAAAGCCTTGAACTCTGTTAAGCTACCGAGCCCAAAGCAAGCCAACTGCCAGGCCAAGGGTCTTCTATCTCCAAAGCCACGCACAGTGACGCACTGGCTACAACCGCTTGGGAAATGCTCCGAGTCCAAAACTGTGAATAAGGGGAGCTTGTTTGACTCCCCAGGTGAGCCCATCATAATTTGTCCGGAAATCTGGCTTTTGGTGCATGCTTTCCAAATCTGCACGTCCTTAAATCCCCTCCTCTCTCCATGCATTTGGTGACTTGGATTTGTGGTTTACGTCCTAGGAGGTTGTTCATCCAGCCCAGTGACCCTAGTGGGAAAAGGGAACCCTGTCATCTTGAGGTCGGTTCCATTGTTGTGGGTGCCGAACCCGCCAAACAAGAAGGGCTGCAGCAAGCATCAGCAAGCCATCGAGTCAGACTCAGGCAGCGCATCGACGGGCACGCGCAGACCCCTTTGCAGCTGGCGCGGGTGGACGACCGCATTGACCCCAACTTCCACGAGGCCAGTCTAAGGATCCCAGAGGTGGACACTTCCTAGCTGCTAAGAAGATCTAGATCCCAGATCTGGGATTTTCTTGTGGATTGCCTGGGGGCCCGCCTTATGACCTCCCAAGAGGCGGCCAATTCATCGGAATCCTTGAGAAATTACCGGGCTAAGGGGATGTCAATCGAGGTGGAAAGTCACAACCTGTGCAACGAACCAAAAGGCGTTGATCGCTTTAACCTGTGGGTGCCGCGCCCTCCAATGATGCACAGTTCCTGGAAAAAGAAGAGGGGGTTCCTCTTCAGTCCTCTTTCAAATGACGTACTCCCAAGTGCCCCTTCTGCCAGCCGCACAAGCCATCAAAATCAAATCGCAGTTTTCCAGGCATTCCCCGGACCTTGAAGGAGGTCTCGGTAAAGCAATATTCAAATGATGAATCACTGGTTTATTATTTTGGGACCTTGAAAGTAGTCAACCCTGAAACAGTTTGAGCAAGAACTTGTCAAACGGCAACCGGTAAAAGTTCTGGAGGCCCAAAAGTCATTTCCGAGGGAACCACCTTTAAAACCAAAAGGACACCGGCTGGTTGCACGCCAGGCTAGGCTGGTAACTGGGATCCACTGGCCAAGCTTTCATTTCCCTGGGATTTGGGGGAGGCAATTTTTTCGGTCAAATCTTGACTCGCGAGGCGTTGACGATCGAGGTGATTGAGCGAGGCTCTGCCGTGCACTGCGTCTCGGCCTACGAGGGGGACATTGTGATCATGGGCTCGGATGGAGTCTTTGACAACTTGTTCCTGGATGAGATCCTGGAGATGGCCAACGGAATGCTACCAGCCCAGGCTCAAAATTGCAGGGTCAGACAGAACACCAGACAACCAATCAGGAATGAGTAACTCTTAACAGATTTGAAAGGAGCGTCCCACAAAAGGAAATGAGCAGAGACGTAAGCAAAGTATCCAAACAACTAACCTCTGCCCGAAGTCCAGGGGTTGGCAGAAACAACCGCACCTTTTGTGCCACTTAAAAGTGATGTTGTGATTCTTGTGAGATCAATGTTTGAAGGGGACACAGCCTCACCCCCACCAACATGTCACCTGACAGGGGGAGACCTTTAAGAGGAAGCTTGTCCAGGCACCCTCCCACAAAAGCTTTTATGCCAGTGGGTCAACACCAATTGTACCATTTTGGGCTAGGTGCACCACCCATTTAGTCTATTTCAGTGGGGATTGGGATGTTCACTGGGGCTACGGGCTTTAGCCATATGTCATACCAAAATGGTACCTTGGCAAATGGAACCATGCAAAGACTAAAACCTGCGTAACCCCAGTTGTTTAATTTCGAGCCACTCCCATATGTCAGACTCGACGCGAAGCCCAGGGCTTCAACCAGAGCTACAGCAACGGGCCGCCGGGGTCGCACCCTGGCGCCTTCAGCGAAGCGCAGCTCAGGGCCTTGGCCACGCGGATCGTGGAGGCCTGCCACGCCAAGACGCGGCCGGGGCCGGGGGGGCAGCTGCTGGAGGCGCCTATCGGCACCTTCGCGGCAGAAGAATTTGGTGGGTGGTTCAATCGGTGGGGCTACACCTGTGGGGTGAAGCGGTGGTTTTTAGGGGTTTTTCAGGTGGTCCCCTTTTTCCGGTTCCCAGTGTGGTTTTTCGTTGTTTCTGCTTTAGAGTTGCATTCAGTTGCCTTGGGTTTCAATTGGTGGAGACCAACTTGGGTCATGTTGTTGTGCTCTTGGCTTGCTGATCCTTCCAAGCTTTTTTGTGGAGTTTGAGTTGAATTTCGGACTTGTGCAAAGGTCGGGGAGGCAAGAAGGACGACACCAGCTGCGTGGTGGCGGAGGTCACCGAATGGACCCCGGACCTGGCACGGCTGTGGACGGACAAGGGCTACGGGAAAAGCAGTGGCAGCATGTGGGACGGCATGGGCTCCTTCGGCTCCATGTTGTCCTCGTTTGTGAACCTGAACAGCTGCTGTGTGGCGTCCTACGACTCGGACGACGAGGACGTGAGGAGAGAGAGCAAAGGCACCCGCGCCTTCCAGGACAAGGACATCACCCCGGCGGCGCCGGCACCGGGGCCGGGGCCGGGGCCGAACCCGAATGGGGTGCCAGGTGCGGGGGGCCCAGGGCCCTGCAACGCACCGGGGCCGCAAGGGCCCGCTCCGTCCAACGGCAAGCTGGGAGCGCAGAATCCCAATCCATATGCCCAGTCCATGCCGCCGCTTCAACCCATGTCCATGCCAAGCATGCAAGGCATGCAAGGCATGCAGGCTATGCCCTTGGATGCCAGAAGTTTGCAGATGCAGATGCAGGACGCGCAGCAGATGCAGCTGCAGTATCAAGCGAGCCAAATGCAAAGTATGCAGCAAATGCAGTACCCCGGCAATGGCTACTATCCTTACCAGAGCTCCATGAGCCCGCCCATGAGCCAGCCCATGAGCCAGCCCATGAGTCAGATGAGCCAGATGTACCCTCCATCTGGCTGCGGCTTTGGAAGCTGCGGAGGTGGTGGGGGCTATGGAGGTGGTGGGGGCTGTGGAGGCTGTGGGGGCTGTGGAGGCTGTGGAGGTTGTGGAGGTTGTGGTGCTTATGGTGGGGGCTGCCGCTACAGCTGACTTCTTCAGCCACTGCGCTCCAGTATGTCGATGCCTTACTGGTCATGACAGCTAAACCCAGTAGCCTTTGCTAAGCACGGGTGAGCCCAGGTTCGCAACAGTCGATGCTGACCGCATATTGGGGCTGGGAAGGGGGGGCTGCTTGCTGACTGACGCGTGTTGTGCGCATGCGGCCAAGGCCAGACGGGATTCCGGGGAAGAATCTGCGCCAGTGATGCGCGCTGTAGATGAGTGGAATAATTCGCACAATGCCTGTGGCCAGAAAGCCAAATCTATCCGGAGAGCCGGTGACAAGCGTGACAAAATACTATGCTAAGCGAGCAAGTTCAGACTATGCAAACAATGGCTTCTCGTGAAGACGTAGGGCGCGTTCCTTTTGGACTGCACTTTTTGTTTGGGTCCTTTCGCTCTCATTAGCATAGAACTTGTGGAAAGGTCCCTGCACAAACTGGCCCCCCTCTGAGGTTTCATGACGGGGAGCAGGTCACTGCAGTTGGCTGCTGCGAGGTGTGCTCACACTGGTCTCTTTCCGGCTGGGCTTGCGCCAGGTCGCTCAGATGCCGCAGCTGCGGATCCTGTCTGTGGCGAGCAACCGCCGGGCCCTTGCCTGGCAACCATGTGTTTAGCAGACTCGCATGGGGGTTATATAGTTCAAGCTCACCCACGAAGGACCCTTTCTGTGGGGGAGTGGGAGTCCTCGAACTTTCCTCCCGCATTCTTCAGTGGGCCTTGGGAATTATACATCGGCGCCCGCCACAGCACTGGCTTTCTCCTTTGAAAGGGCTGGAGCAGAGAATCACGACGATGACGATTGATGATGGTGATGAGGATGAGAATGAGGATGAGGATGACGATGACGATGACGATGACGATGACGATGACGAAGATGATGATGATGATGATGATGATGATGATGATGATGATGATGATGATGATGATGATGATGATGATGATGATGATGATGACGACGATGTGAACATGCTGAGGATGCGGTGGTGATGCTGACAATGGTGCCAGTGCTGGTAATTGATCACCGTCCACCATGTTATCATTTTGGCGCCGCTTGACATCAGGATGTGTACGACATCAAGAATGTCATTCTGTGTGCTGCCAGCTCTTGCACATTAGTTGGTGCCTACCCTTGCAACCATCAGATGGAGGGCAGGGAGCCTGACGGAACACCGCTTGAAAAGCAAACTGTTCTCCAACGGGCTCCCAGGTTCCATGTCAGGATGGAGGCACATGCTCATTTGTGGGTTTTTAAACCTGCCAGATTGATATGGATATGCGACGACCTCTGAAATGGGACGACCCTTTGAGCCCTCGGAGAATCACCGGAATTTGATGCTATGGTTCTGAGCTCTAATAGGAAAGACCCTCCAAAGAATTGGCGGACGTGGCCACCCATGAAGGGTCCCAAAAACTTCCAACATGGAGCCCTAGCCATGTGAGGAGCCTCCTGCACCAAAAGGGGGTTGCCTGGTTTGGGTTCCATAAAGAGTTGCCCCTGCGTGTAAAAAACCCGGCCCAACAGAACCCACACACCGCCGAACCGATTCGACGCCGATTCGAGGCCTGCGCTGCCTCCCCAAGCGCTTGTCGGAGCTCCAGCGCCCGGGGCCCCGTTACGGAGGGAAGTGGGATGTAGTGGGACAAGTCCAACACGTGGGTGTGGTGGGTCCTGTTAACTCAAAGTTAAACAGGAGGGGTTACGCAGGTGGTGGTCCATTTTTCCACTTACCAGGGTTTCATTTTGGTACCCGCTTTTTGTTTTTTTTTAGCCACGGCCGTATGTGTAGGAAGGAGTGATGGAGGGAAGTGGGATGTATAGAGCCTTCCAACTTCTACCTGCAAAGGACAGTGCGCCCATTTGAAGAATGCATCTTCTTGGGGGGTTTTGTTCAGGGAGCATGTGTTTTTTGATGCACTAAGCTTAAGCAGCCGCCATTCTTATGTCAGCCTAAAGGGCCGCTTGTGTTTTTGTCGACGGTTCTTCGGATCTACCTAGCGGCTAGCGCTCGGAAAGAAGAAAGAACTGGGGCCATGAATAGATTTGCTGCTAAAACAGGGCATTGCGCGTGCAGACCTCGCGGACCTTCCTGTCGTGTTGGCTATTGGTTGTATTTTTCGTGAATTGCCCAACCAAAGCGCAACGTCTCTCGCTTGGGCAGGTGGGCCTACGCGGAACTTCTGGAGAAAACCCGCAAGATCAGGGGGGGCCCACCAAGTTCATGGTTTTTTGGTAATTGCTGCATATTTCGAAGCTCGGAGCTGCCAACTTCGGCAGGACCCGTGCGCCTGGGTGTCTTTGCATTTTGTTTCGCACAAGTCTTTGGCCACGCGATGCCGCATTTAGGGGTTGATCAAAAGATCCTTTAATCCCTTCCCCCTTTAAGAAAAACCTCCCCCCCAAATATAAAGAACTCGGAGGAGTTTTATTATTGATAGGGGTTGCCGGTTTGTGCCTAGTACAGGAAATGCACTCCTGGAGCTCCGGCTCGGAAGTCGCAACTTTGTAGCACAAGCCTAGTGAAGCAAACGCACTCCCGGAGCTCAGGCTCGAAACTCGTAGCTTGGAACCTTCTTGTTTCAACACATCATGGAAGGGGGCCCCAATAAGCACACATTGAGAGCTTGGTGGAAAGCATGTGTGGCCGCAGGAGTTGATAATTGGTTTAGTATTGGCTAAATTAAAAATAGTATTTGCGATTTTTGGCGTGGCTGAGGGAAGTTTTATTCTTAGGGGTGGGTTGATTGAAAAGGAAGAATTACAGGGGATGACCATGCGGGAAACCAAAACAGATGACTTTCCCCACGAAAGGGGGAACAGTTACTCATGGTCCTTTCTGCCAGGAGTATTGATCAACCCCCGTTTGGCTCTTGGGCAGATTTGGAGTACAAGGGTCATGTTGAGTAAGTTTTCTTTGGAGGCAGGTAAATTCTTGTGGAGTTCAGCTTATCATGTATGCAATGAGCAGCAAAGCCAGAAACAACTCCGTTCTCTCATCCTTTGAGGGTTTTTGGATTCTGCCGACCTGGAATAGTCCAACATGACTGGATTCGAAATGGGCATCACCCAGTTTCGGAAACGTTGCACAACTTGTTTGCAGGCTTGGAGTGGATCCTGGCATACGAGCGACGATCTCAGCAGCATGTGGGGGAGCAGGGGAGGGGGGGAGTGTAGATCAGAGCAGACCTCCTTCAACACGTCGCATGTCAGAATGACACAAGTCTAATCCCGGATACAGTATGTTCTAAGCGGTAGCGTGTTGTTCTTGCACTCGAAGGTTTGGAAGTTGGCTGGCAGGAGGCAGGTTACAGGTGTGAAGCTGGTATGTTGCTTGGGTGCGGGACGTTGGGCAGCGCACGGGCAGGTGGGGCGGGTTTTGGACAAATTGCCCCCCAAAACAACAAATCACAGCATGACTCGTGCAAAGCGGATCTGAAATGAGAATTGAAGCTTTGACAGAAAGGAAGACCAAGGCAAAACAAGAACCTCCAGCCTGGTGTGTGGGACGAAACTCCACTTTCCTTGGCCCCTTGCCAAAGGAATGTGACGCCAAGGAATTGCCTCACCGACCTGCCGGAAAACCTGGCGCCAGGTGGGGCCCCGCAAAAGCGCTGTCTTTGGAATGACGGCGGGAAATGCAACCCCTCTTGGGATCCCACAAATCACCGAATCCTAAGTCTATCCAAGAAGCTTTCCTCAGTAGTATGAAGGTGATAGTTGAATAGCAGTTGTTGGGACGTGGAATGTTGGCAATTGTAGTATGCGTCATCCGCCTCTGCACGATTCAATGGTAATGATGGGAGCCGCTGGTGGGGGAGAAGGGGAGTGTGGTGGCTCTCGGGGCATTTCTTTTTACGAGGTGCTGCGCATCCCTGTGTGAGTTCCACTTTAAGCTTGCCTGCCAAACTCGGCGACTTGTCTAGCCACAACTTTGATAAGGCATTCTTCTGAGCTTGGCAATTAGCTTTGGGAACTGGTTGCCTTGGTCAGTTCGAGCTGCTTCGGGATGCAACTGTTGTTGCTTTTCCTCAAGCTCACTCAAAACTTTGGCTGAGAGATCGGCTGAGTGAGAAGCAAAATGGGGAACCCCACTCTCCGGCAGACGTGACCTTCGATGGCACGAGAGAGAGAGAGAGAGAGAGAGAGAGACTGGCGGAGAGTTCCAAACCACTTGTGGAAACACCCCATTCAAGGAAGCACCCAGACCCTCGCACTAGCAGGGAGCAGAATCAAAGCTTCGAGTGCGTTCGCAGTCCCGGATTGCTCGAGGCTGCCGTGGCTTGAGAAGGTGGGGTGCCGGCATTTTCCTTGCACGGGTTTTGCGACAGAGGTTGCTGTCAGACGCCGATCCAGCCCCACTTGAGCTGCACTGTGCCAAGCAGTCTAGGGGGTGAGGCGCTTCTGGCAGCTTGCACGAAGCCCCACCTGGCGAGCCAAGTTCCTATGCTCGTTGGGGCAATTCGTCGCGCGGGGAAGGTGTCGACTTGGGAGCGATGCGCGCGTCAGGCTGCTGTTGGAGTCAAACCCGCTGCAGCCCTCTGCGGTGGTGACCTTGATCGCGGACCTGGCCAGGCGTGAGGTTAAGGTTGAGGCAGCTCACTGGAGGTTGTGTTTGGGGGCATTTTACGTCTTGGCTCCTGGAAAACGATGTTGACCAACAAGACTTGTTGGTACTGCAAGAAGAAATCTTGCCATCCTTCAACGAAAGCCTTTGCAAGGAAGCCGGCGTTTCTTGATGGTTGTCGAAAGGGTGCACATCCCAGATTTGGTAGTTGTCACGAGTAGCCACCTACACGGCAGGTGAATGGTCGCTGCATGCGTCAATTTGTGTATTTATTTGATTACTAAGTGCGTGGTCTGGGTGCTGGGTTTGCAGGCTGCAGGGTTGGGTTCACGATGCAGCCTGCCTCGTTTCGTCCTAGGTCCTAGAAGCCCCGCAGCCCAGTCGAATTTACTGCAGCCAAGCTGACCTTTCTTTGGGATGCCCTAT